TAAGGTCTATGTCAACAGCAGCACACGGCCAGTCTGTATGTAAGTACCCTCTGTACTTGTTTATGTAAAACGTATGCTACAGGCAATCAGATGCAAATATGATGCAACGATTTCCATAAACGTTGGCTTTCCATCGCCTGCCTGCTCTTCCATGTAATCTGTATGATTCCTTCCCCATGAACTGAGGTCATCACTGATAGACAGATGTCCCTTGTGGTGATACAAATATGCATTTGCTATAGCAGAGTGTTCAAGAACTGACCTCGCTTCCTGGTGTTGTCTGCAGGAAGTAAGTAATAACCACACAAAACCATGTCAATGTTTGGTTGATGTCCGCTTCAGCCAATATATGTCATCGTAATCACCATCATTTTAAGTTGATGCATCATAGTTCTGGTAAAAAAAAACTTTGCCAAAACATCAAGCCCTGCAGACCCTCTATTGGCCACATACTCCCTAGTTTTTCCGAACTAGTTGCACCTGTGTAGTGAAATAACTCGGACGATCCTTATTTAGAAATGTTTCACATACATAAAACACGTCACAGTGTTGGCTGTGATCGTGGCCTGTTTCCTGTCTTGTCTTGTCCCCTTTCGTTTTGTAGGAGTGTATTTTCTGTTCGGGAGTCTCGAGTCTGGCTGTGATCGTGGCCTGTTTCCTGTCTTGTCTTGTCTCCTGTTGTTTTGTAGGAGTGTTTTTTCTGTTCGGGAGTCTCGAGTCTGGCTGTGATCGTGGCCTGTTTCCTGTCTTGTCTTGTCTCCTGTTGTTTTGTAGGAGTGTTTTTTCTGTTCGGGAGTCTCGAGTCTGGCTGTGATCGTGGCATGGTTCCTGTCTTGTCTTGTCTCCTGTTGTTTTGTAGGAGTGTTTCTTCTGTCCGGGAGTCTCGAGTCTGGCTGCGATCGTGCCCTGTTTCCCGTCTTGTCTTGTCTCCTGTTGTTTTGTAGGAGTGTTTCTTCTGTCCGGGAGTCTCGAGTCTGGCTGCGATCGTGCCCTGTTACCCGTCTTGTCTTGTCTCCTGTTGTTTTGTAGGAGTGTTTCTTCTGTCCGGGAGTCTCGAGTCTGGCTGCGATCGTCGCCTGTTTCCCGTCTTGTCTTGTCTCCTGTTGTTTTGTAGGAGTTTTTCGTCTGCTCGGAAGTATTGAGTGTGGCTCTAATCTAATCGTTTTCTGCCTCGTCTTGTCTTCTGTTTTGCACCTGCCGTGCGTACTTCGGTTAACTTTAATCCATCTTCCGATTAGCTGCACTGTTATATCTGTGTGTTCTTTTCCCCTGTGGCCGAGAGACTCATTCCTGAACACCACACTTAACACGTTGTTCGAGAAATCTCCCGACTTTGTAACATCAGAGGAATATCTCTCAATGTTTACAACCAGGATTGTTATATTAGCTCCATGAGCTGTGCACAGATTCAGGTTTCTCGTCTTTTTGTGAAACTACTTTGCTAGTTGACTTCTGAGATTCCTCATCCATGCATTTCCCTCGTGAATGGTGTTTCTGTCAGTTGGCCGCCATTGCCTGATTCACAACATCCTCGCTGTTGAGGATACCATTCAGTTGGTGTCCCTAAAGTATTTTAGAAATAAAAGCTACTTCCGATTACCCCCTACTTTCTTTCAGTAGTCTACATTAACCACAGCACCGCAATGAGAAGATATACTGCTGATGATTACTAGCTGCAAAAACACTCCCTCTGATGTTGCTTTATGAAATGTTGTCTTGTAAACCTCCTTGTCGACACCTCCATGACCTGAATTATAAAATACGGCATTCCAGAAATTCATTTAAAGTGGATTTCTGGAAGTAAAGAAGACATAAAAAAACCAAATACATGTATAAGGAACTTTGGGACTCGGGTACCCGAGGTAGCATTAAACAATCCGACTCCAATGCTTTACGGCTTTATTTAGAGTTAATTCCCTTAACTTAACAATGTGTCATTGGGTCATATTTTGATCTTTAATCCACAAATCAGAAAGTAACAAATAGCCTTATACAGAGTGAGATATTTCGTCGTGCTCATTTTTATGATTGAAGAACGAATATACACTGTATGTCTGGTTCATGATTTTGGTTATATGAGTTAATTTTACATAATGTATCAGACTATCAGTCACGTGACGAAGGGTAGTGTACTCAGGACCGGGGCAGTATTTACTTGACCCTGACAGTCGGGTAACCCGTCCCGGCCCTACGTTACCCTGACTGATGTTTTATGTTGACGAAATCTGTCAAATATTATTTCATTTTTCTCGTGTTGTCAGCAAACCGGTTATTCTTAATAGTCTCAATAGATTTCCCTCTGGAGAATCTTCTCCCTAATTATCGAGCTAAACAATACAACTCTCATGTTGTCAGTGATGATGCTTGAGCTGCTGTATTGTCTTTGGTGACATATTTGTCAATATTGTCAACACATAAGCTCGTCTGATAAGCAGTCTGCAGGGACGTGACTTGGATGTTTGTTGTTTGTTACCAATGGCAACAGGGGTATACAGGGTGTATCTACCGTCATGTACTACAACACACATGATGCAGGTGTGTGTGCTGAGGCGATCTTTCCCATCACTGTAAGTCTCTGTCATAACCCAGGTAGCAAGGGCATAACAATAAAATACATTGTCAGTTAAGTGTGGGTACGCGAATTTAACCTTTCATAATCTCAAGCCGTACGTCGTTTGACTGACGACATTAAACTTTCACGAGGTGTAAATCATCGCTTCACTTGTATCAAAGGCGGACATTATTGTTCTCATTGTGTTCTGAACTTCTTACGCAGAGACCGAGGGTAGGGAAAAACAAAAGAGAACAAATAACGGTTGAAAGCATCAGCATTAGACAAGTCAGCTAGGACGCATCATCAACAGAAGCAGTGAGGTCTTCCTGGTGTAAGTGTCACCTACTGAAACATGGTGTAGGGAGGTCTTCCTGGTGTAAGTGTCACCTTCTGCAACATGGAGTAGTGAGGTCTTCTTGGTGAACGTGTCACCAACTGAAACATGGTGTAGTGAGGTCTTCCTGGTGTAAGTGTCACCTACTGAAACATGGAGTAGTGAGGTCTTCTTGGTGAACGTGTCACCAACTGACACATGGTGTAGTGAGGTCTTCCTGGTGTAAGTGTCACCTACTGAAACATGGAGTAGTGAGGTCTTCTTGGTGTAAGTGTCACCTACTGAAACATGGTGTAGTGAGGTCTTCCTGGTGTAAGTGTCACCTACTGAAACATGGAGTAGTGAGGTCTTCTTGGTGTAAGTGTCACCTACTGAAACATGGTGTAGTGAGGTCTTCTTGGTGAACGTGTCACCAACTGACACATGGTGTAGTGAGGTCTTCCTGGTGTAAGTGTCACCTACTGAAACAAGGTGTAGTGAGGTCTTCCTGGTGTAAGTGTCACCTACTGAAACATGGAGTAGTGAGGTCTTCTTGGTGAACGTGTCACCAACTGAAACATGGTGTAGTGAGGTCTTCCTGGTGTAAGTGTCACCTACTGAAACATGGTGTAGTGAGGTCTTCTTGGTGAACGTGTCACCAACTGACACATGGTGTAGTGAGGTCTTCCTGGTGTAAGTGTCACCTACTGAAACATGGAGTAGTGAGGTCTTCCCGGTGTACGTGTTACCAACTGAAGCATGGGGTAGTCAGGTCTTCCTAGTGATAACGTCATCAACTCACAGCAGAATGTCGAAGTGGCAGTTTTGCTTCGTTATATTTATTTCCAAGAGCGGTATGAAGCCTATTAGATATTACCTGTATTAGCGTGTATAGCTTTCGTATTGATTTCCAATTGACCATCAAGCGGCATGGTTAATATTGCCGTGGTAATTGTTCTCACAAAAACAGGTAAATGGTTTATATGTATGCGCGAGGAGAAAATTTATAATAGAAATCTGATATGAACATGCCAGCACAGTGCCTCTATGAATTGCTAACTGTAACAGCTGGCTCGGACTGGAGCTTCAGCGCTTGACGTCAGGGGAGGCCTACCTGACAAGGACTTACTTGACTCTGACAGGCAGAAGGGAGATTCGGAACAGGGGTGGAGAGTAGGCACATGGGTGAAGGGCAGAAGAAAAGGGGAAAAGGGCAAAGAGGGTGGGGAATAGGTGATTGGAGGGGAGGGATGGATGGCAGGAAATAGGAGCAGATGGTAGGTGAAGGGAAACGGAGAGCAGGGTAGATGACAAGCCAAGATGAAGTAGGAATAGGAGAGAAGGGGTGGACACGGAACATGGGAATAGGAGGAGAGAGAGGGTGGGAGGGGACATTTGAATAGGAGAGGAGAGATTTGGGGGGGGGGAGGGACATTTGAATAAGAGAGGAGAGAGTTGGGTTGGGGAGGGAACATTTGAATAGGACAGGAGAGAGTTGGGGAGGGAGGGGACATTTGAACAGGGAGAGAGGAGAGTTGGGGTGGGGAGGGGGCATGGGAATAGGAGAGGAGAGAGTTGGTTTGGGAAGGGGACATTTGAATAGGAGAGAGAGAGTTGGGGAGGGGGGAGGGACATTTGAACAGGAGAGGAGAGAGTTGGGGTGGGGGGGGACATTTGAATAGGAGAGGAGAGAGAGTTGGGGGAGGGAGGGAGGGGAGATATGGGATCAGGAGAGGAGAGAGTTGGGGTGGGGGGTTATACGAATGGGAGAGGAGATAGTGAGGTGAGGTGAGGTGAGGTGAGGCTAGGTGAGGTGAGGTGAGGTGAGGTGAGATGAGGTTTGGGTTAATGTAACGATCATGTTTATTTTGCATTAAATGCGTCGTGTGTGCGTGCGCATCGGCGTGTGTCATTTGAAAAATGTATAAGAAAATAGGCAGGGGTTATGCCATGTTCTGGGATGGGAAAGGGTGAACGGACAGGGAGAGCTTCCCTGAGGCAAAACGATTTAGTTCATCAGGTTTAAGAAGTGTAAATTCTTCTCTTTTTTAAGTACACTGGACAAATATCCTGAGTACCATGTATCATTGTTGTATGATGATGTAACTCAATAAGTTTTCTATCTTTTATCAGGTGAATGTGAAACTCCACCTCGCTGAAGACATGTAGAGCCTTGCTGTAGACGTCAACGGAAGCACAAGACATCCCAGGTGATTACCGACACTAGCTCCAGGAGGGCGGGATCATCGGCAGCCTCGCATCAATGCTCATCACTGATGGTGGGGGAGAAATGATGGCTGCCTAAACCATAAATGTACCATCTCCCCATCCAAATGCACCTTCAAGTAACACTACGTAACTAGGAACAGAATAGCGAGGGCTGAAGTTCCCCTCCAACTCGTTTGACATCTATCTCGCTTGATACCAAGAACCACATGGGCACACGCTGCAATCACTGATGACTGACCAGCCCTCTACGATCAACACCCGCAATCCAAAGATAGTGTATTCACCAAGGTCTATCAGTACCCACCCGACATACAAGAATCCCAAACGACCAGTCACGATGTTTGTTAATACATTCATGAAACACCTGAAGCAGGAGTACTGGGCTTACATCGCCCTGTTTGGCATCATGTCTCTCTACAGCGGCGTCATGGTCGCCGTGTTCGGCTTCACCGACATCGTACACGCGTCAGGCGGGGAGATCGAGTGGTTCGGCATCTTCCTGATTCTGGGAGGTATTGCCCTCATCATCACTTCCGGAATCCTCTACCATCGGAAGTCGCGGCGCCTACGGCCGTGTATCTGTTGCGGCATGGACATGGACGACACGCCCGAGTTTCCGCCCAGGAACAAGAAGCGTCTGCGCTTCGCACCCAACTTGATATCGCCTTATTACGAAAAGGTAAAGCATGAGGAACGGCGGCAGACATTGCCCGCAGTCAAAGCTCCTATTGTCCGTTTTCAAAGAAGCTCGTCCGATATAGAAACGGCCGACATTGTGAGCGCCGAGGAACAAAAGGGAGACAACTCGGAGGGCAGTAGCACAACTTTGATAACGGACCTTCGACGTCCTCAGGTCACCAAGTGTTGAAGGTACACAGAGATAAGCAAACTGTACACATATCATTCAGCCGCTACATGCTTTGTGGAATCGGAATAGGTTATCTGGCGATTGTTGCCATCGTTCTGAGTAAAATGCGACAGCTGGAAATGTGTTACATTTGAACAAACTTTGTAGGCTGCTCAACCTGTGAGTTCTGAAATTGATATGATCTGCCATTGATCGTCATTGATAGCCAACAGACCCGATTTCCCGTCATGTGACATATATGTGACACCTCATGCATATCGTCACCGACAGTAACGGCGTTCACGTGCCTTTGTACCACTGTGCCGTACTTTCTTCTAGGCAGAGAGCGACCTGACGGCCGTGACCTTCACAGCACTATGGGTCAGATTGACGGCCTGACGTGGTTGACCGGATCTTGCGGTCTGATACTTTAATAACTGAATTAGAATCGTGCAATAATGTGTGTCACATCATAAATAAAATGTGTAATATAACAAAGAAACTGTATCTAACTAATACATTTGTCCTATTCATATAAAATATGTGCAATTCCTTTGTTATATAACGATGTCAGGTTAATTGATGAAGAAAGAACATCGAGAGTATCTCCAAGCATCGAACCACGCACCTGCTGGCGCCCTTGTTTGGTTGTTCAACTCTTGCATCAGAGGCACCAGATGTATGAATATTGTAACGACTCCAGTGTGATGCCTCCTTGTTGAAGTGAAAGCTCCCTTCATAGACAGGGAGGTTTTGTTTTCTTTGTTATCTTCACGTGTTGATAGTTTAAAATGGCTTGACTTTACGGACAAGTGATGCGTGTGTTTGGTGTGGAGACACTGGATGATATTGAGTTGTGTGATCAATGTTACAGTGTGTGGGTGACACCAGTTGCCGGTCTTACATCGCACCTTACGTCGCACCTGTCGTCGTGCCGAGATGCTGCTACATCATGGATCGTCACGTGCTTCACAAACTGTGGAATGTTTAAACATTTGAATATTGAGTTACGTGTATATTTGTTCCAGTTATTGTTGATATTTCGAGCGTTGTTATTATGTATTCTTGACTTTCATGTTCAATTTTTATACTTGATAACTATTTAATAAAATCGACTGAGGTCTGGATGGTTCTCTCCACTGCGGGAATCGTGTCTCAGAGTTGCACAGACTTGACAGGTTGTGGTTTACACCGGGGAAATATCGACTGTTTAATTTATTTCGTGCCAGCTGATAGTGGGGAAAAACCTAGATGAAGCGGCTGGGGCAGGTGCAACTCGTGAGCATGGCGATGTAACGTAAGAGCATGGCGATGTAACACAAGAGCATGGCAGGATAACACGAGAGCATGGCGGTGTAACATGAGAGCATGGCGGTGTAACACGAGAACATGACGGTGTAACACGAGAGCATGGCGGTGAAACATGAGAGCAGGGTGGTGTAACATGAGAGCATGGCGATGTAACACGAGAGCATGGCGGTGTAACATGAGAGCATGGCGGTATAACATGAGAGCATGGCCATGCAACACGAGAGCATGGAAGTATAACACGAGAGCATGGCGGTGTAACATGAGAGTATGGCGGTGTAACACGAGAGCATGGCGGTGTAACATGAGAGCAAGGTGGTGTAACACGAGAGCAAGGCGGTGTAACATGAGAGCATGGCCATGTAGCACGAGAGCATGGCAGTATAACACGAGAGCATGGCGGTGTAACATGAGAGCATGGCGGTATAACACGAGAGCATGGTGGTGTAACACGAGAGCATGGCGGTGTAACATGAGAGCATGGTGGTGTAACACGAGAGCATGGCGATGTAACACGAGAGCATGGCGGTGTAACATGAGAGCATGGCGGTATAACAGGAGAGCATGGCGGTGAAACATGAGAGCAAGGCGGTGTAACGTAATAGCATGGCGATGTAACACGAGAGCATGGCGATGTAACACGAGAGCATGGCGATCAACATGAGAGCATGGCGTAACACGAGAGCATGGTGGTGTAACACGAGAGCATGGTGGTGTAACACGAGAGCATGGTGGTGTAACACGAGAGCATGACGGTGTAACACGAGAGCATGACGGTGTAACACGAGAGCATGGTGGTGTAACACGAGAGCATGACGGTGTAACACGAGAGCATGGCGGTGTAACACGAGAGCATGGCGGTATAACACGAGAGCATGGCGGTATAACACGAGAGCATGGCGGTGTAACACGAGAGCATGGCGGTGTAACACGAGAGCATGGTGGTGTAACACGAGATCATGGCGATGTAACACGAGAGCATGGCGGTGTAACACGAGAGCATGGTGGTGTAACACGAGATCATGGCGATGTAACACGAGAGCATGGCGTTGTAACACGAGAGCATGGCGGTATAACACGAGATCATGGCGGTGTAACACGAGAGCATGGCGGTGTAACACGAGAGCATGGCGGTACAACACGAGATCATGGCGGTGTAACACGAGAGCATGGCGGTGTAACACGAGAGCATGGTGGTGTAACACAAGAGCATGGAGGTGGAACCCTTGAGCATGGTGGTGTAAAAGGAGATCATGGTGGTGTAACACTAGAGCATGGAGGTTGAACCCTTGAGCATGGAGGAGTTAGACGAGAGCATGGCAGTAAAACACGAGAGCATGGCGGTGCAACACGACAGCATGGTGGTGTAACACGAGAGCATGGCGATGTAACACAAGAACATGGCGGTATAATACAAGATCATGGCGATGTAACACGAGAGCATGGTGCTGTAACATGAGAGCATGGCGGTGCAACACGAGAGCATGGTGACGTAACACGAGAGCATGGTGGTGTAACACAAGAACATGGCAGTATAATACAAGATCATGGCGGTGTAACATGACAGCATGGCAGTGCAACCCATGAGCATGGTGGTGTAATATCAGAGCATGACAGTGTAACACGAGAGCATGACGGTGTAACACGAGAGCATGGCGGTGCAACCTGTTTGCATGGCGATGTAAAATGAGAGCATGGCGGTGTAATATCAGAGCATGACAGTGTAACACAAGAGCATGGCAGTTCAGCCTGTGAGCATGGCGGTGTGGCACGAGAGCATGGCGGCGTAACACGAGACCATGGCAGTGTAACATGAGAGCATGGCAGTTTCACACGAGAGCATGGCAGTTTCACACGAGAGCATGGCGGTGTAACAGGAGAGCATGGCAGCTTCACAGGAGAGCATGGCGGTGTAACACGAAATCATGGTGGTGTAACACGAGAGGATGGTGGTGTAACACGAGAGCATGGCGATGTAACACAAGAACATGGCGGTATAATACAAGATCATGGCGATGTAACACGAGAGCATGGTGCTGTAACATGAGAGCATGGCGGTGCAACACGAGAGCATGGTGACGTAACACGAGAGCATGGTGGTGTAACACAAGAACATGGCAGTATAATACAAGATCATGGCGGTGTAACATGACAGCATGGCAGTGCAACCCATGAGCATGGTGGTGTAATATCAGAGCATGACAGTGTAACACGAGAGCATGACGGTGTAACACGAGAGCATGGCGGTGCAACCTGTTTGCATGGCGATGTAAAATGAGAGCATGGCGGTGTAATATCAGAGCATGACAGTGTAACACAAGAGCATGGCAGTTCAGCCTGTGAGCATGGCGGTGTGGCACGAGAGCATGGCGGCGTAACACGAGACCATGGCAGTGTAACATGAGAGCATGGCAGTTTCACACGAGAGCATGGCAGTTTCACACGAGAGCATGGCGGTGTAACAGGAGAGCATGGCAGCTTCACAGGAGAGCATGGCGGTGTAACACGAAATCATGGTGGTGTAACACGAGAGGATGGTGGTGTAACACGAGAGCATGGCGGTGTAACCTGTGAGCATGCGGTGTAACACGAGAGGATGGTGGTGTAACACGAGAGCATGGCAGTATAACACGAGAGCATGGCAGTGCAACACAAGAGCATGGCGGTGTAACACATGAGGATGGCGGTATAACACGAGAGCATGGCAGTGTAACACGAGAGCATGGCGGTGTAACACGAGAGCATGGTGGGCGAGCTGTCTAAGGCGCCAGGCTAGTGATCCAGCGAGCTTGGAGGTGTCGGGATCGATCCCACCTGTGACCGGGTGTAAAAACCTTGGAATCAACTTTGTGTGCAGGCTCTTTCAGCGTTGCCACAATCCCTAGTGTACATGAACTCGGTGCGCCTAGTGGCAGCAAGAGATGTATGTCCCCCAGGGAGTTGAGCTTTATAATATGATGTGATTGACATCCACTGATCGAGGGGAAAACAAAGAAACGATTTGAGAATACATGTCGGATGGACTATAGTGCCATATAAATACCCATATAATAGTGGCGCTGTGACCCGAGAGCATGGCCGTGTAACACGAGAGCATGGCGGTGTAACACGAGAGCATGGCGGTGTAACACGAGAGCATGGCGGTGTAGCACGAGAGCATGGCGGTGTAACAGGAGAACATGGCGGTGTAGCACGAGATCATGGCGGTGTAACAGGAGAGCATGGCGGTGTAGCACGAGAGCATGGCGGTGTAACACGTTGAAACATGTGGTCTTCGTATTACGACACGCGAGTATGGCGATGAAAGACATAGGCATTGTGTGTTGTGAAACCTTTTGATCATGTCGGTGAAAACCGTAGGCTTGTCGGTGAGACCCGTGAGGTTGTCGGTGAAACCCGTGAGGCTGTCGGTGAAACCCGTGAGGCTGTCGGTGAGACCCGTGAGGCTGTCGGTGAAACCCGTGAGGCTGTCGGTGAGACCCGTGAGGCTGTCGGTGAGACCCTGAGGCTGTCGGTGGAACCCGTGAGGTTGTCGGTGAAACCCGTGAGGCTGTCGGTGAGACCCGTGAGGCTGTCGGTGAGACCCGTGAGGCTGTCGGTGGAACCCGTGAGGCTGTCGGTGAGACCCGTGAGGCTGTCGGTGAAACCCCTTGAGCATGATGAAGAAACAAGTGAACAAGGTGTTAAAATATGGGAGCATGGCAGTAAACCTCGCAAACATATTATTGAAACCCGTGAGCTGGTGACACTCAGATCGAACCCGGTGTCGGGCGACTACGGGAAATAATTGTTTGCGTCAAACAAATATGGTCAATGTTGTTCTAAGAAGCGCCAGTAAAATCTAGGAGGCATATCCTTGTCTCACCTGACCTGCTGACAGTAACATGTTCTACCTGGTGTGCCGGGTCCGTTTGATCAGCGTCGCCATCCAAAACATGTCACGTGCAGGGAAAGGTGGAGTGGTATCTAAATGCAGGTAGAGTGGAAATGAGCAACGATTTACAGGACAATAGTAGGATTAAGAAAATAGAGAGAAATTTAACAATTTAACAACTGGTCTACCCCACCGCCTTGGGCGGGATGTGTTAACGAGGCATCATCGTGATGTTGGAGACGCAAAGATGGCAAATGTCGTAAACGGCGACGTGTGATGTTTCTGATGAGGACTGAGCTGGTTTCAGCTGTTAAAAATGGACGTTTTGGAGAAACAACGGTGACCTGTTTAATTGAAGACCGTTCCATAACAACACAACATTTAGCTTGTCCAGTACTTACAGGCATATTCTACATACAGGCAGTACACACTTGTTCAGCTATTGGCAGGCGGTGTTTCAATGGGTAGGGCAAATGGGTAGGGCAAGTATATATATTTTGATGGGCTATCTGTTACCAGCAATATCACGGCAAGACTATTCCATGTTTGTTATTCATGAGTCAGAATTGGACGTCTGATGACCTTTCGGGACCTCAAACGGTAACGCACGGTCTTAGCTGGGCACCCAGACTTGCATCAAGCGAGTGCGAGTTCACGCATCACGTAATGGACAAGACTGCGATCTTCCAGTGGAGTGGTCTTCCTGGGCTGCCCTGGCCTTGGTCAGTCCTTGACATCACCTGATTGTTAGTGTTTCGGGAATCTTTATAAAGTCTACTGATGACAGAGTGACGGTAACCAAACTGACGCCCGGTGGCCTAGAATGACATGCCAGCTGATATTTAGATTTTAATAAATTTTTAACTTACCTTACCATAGGTCTTATGCATATGGATTCGACAGTAGGACGGCGGTGTCGGGCTCCAGAGGACCGTCCCACGAAAAACACACATGCCAAGGGAAAACCAGAAGAAACTACTGAATCGCC